TGTGATGTTTCAAGAGAGATGTCGGATTCATCACAGAAGTGTTCCGTTTTTATTTTGCAGGCTTCACTCTGTGCGGGTGTGTATTATGCCTGTTATTTAATCACCTCGCTAAGATTCATGGTCACATCCTTCATTTCTGCATCTTGGAGAATATTTCTGTATTGCACTCTGAAAAATAATGTAGGAATAACAAGTTAGCAATAGGGTGAATTAACCAGTGAGGAGCTACGTGCTGTGGTAGCCAGACTGCTACTGGTTGGTTGTCTTGGCTCATTTGAAGTTGGGTATTTCACTGCTGGACATAGGGTATTTTGGTGTATTCTCATCAGAGTGTAGACTTGTCTTGTGCGTTACCTACCTTCTTTACCTCACATGAAATTTTGGAAATCCTAATGTGTGTTTAATGCTGAAAGCAGAGAAAAGGGCTCCTTCGAGTGAGCTGTAGGCTTTGCTTTCATCCCTCCTGGTGTTTTGAATGGGTGTGACTTTTTTCTCCAGGGTAAAATTTGCAGGGTTGGAAAGGGGGGATTTTCCAGTTCTGGTGGCTTGAAGTAATTTAAAAGTCTGACTGTAAATTTACCCTGTCAAGGGAGAAAGTCCTTGCCCTCATGACTTCTGCAAGCAGCAGAAAAGTTTGATGCAGCTGAGCCATTTCTCAGAGGTGCATGTTCATTCATTTCTTCATGTTCCATGGTCAAGAATCTGCCGTGGAAACAGGAAAGGATTTACCCAGCAACAGAGGCTTCTTCACTGAGAAAAACTATAGTCTTGGTGGTCCTTCCAGAGGTTGGTGGTTATCACAGAATCATAGAATGGTTTGGGTTGGAAAGGAACTTAGCTAAAAGCTTTAGGGAAGTCTTTTACCCAAAAGAGTTCAGTTCATTGATGTACCTCTCATAACAAGACCAGTAGCTAGCGGTTCGTGAATCAGAATATTTTTCCCCTTTTTTTATCTGCTCAAAAACACTGGAAAAGATTTTGGGTGAAGACAAAACTGCCAAGTTGGAATGTTGTCTTTTAAACAAGGACCAGTCTAGGTGCCCTAGAAAGTCACTAGTTTAGATCCATTTGTGTATGGAAAGGAGAACAGTGTTGCTTTCTCCCTATCTTATGAATCGTAGAATCATTCAGGTTGGAAAAGACCTCAAGGATCATCAAGTCCAACCATCAACCCAGCACCACCTAACCCAAGGACATTGACAGGTTGGTGGGTGGGCTGACGGGAGCCTTGCACTTGGTATGTAATAACCCCACGCAGCAGCACAGGATGGGCGCTGACTGGGGAGAAAGCGACTTTACAGAAGACCCAGGGATGCTGGAGGACAACAGGTTGAACATGATTCAACAGTGACGGATTAGACTGCCTGCATACTGGGCTGCCCTAGCGGGAGCATCACCAAGAAGGTCAAGGGAAGTGCCTGATCCCCTCCATTCAGCACTTGTGAGGCTGCTCCTGATACCCAAGTTGGGGGTCCCCAGTACAAGAAAGATGTTGTGTCCTGTCCCTCCAACTCTGTAGGACTTGTGTGAGTTTTGCACTGAGCTAGTTCAGGGGCTGAACCAGGTGACATAGAAGGAGGTTCTGAAAACTGAGTTTATTCAGTCTGGAGAACAGAAAACCAAGCAAGGATTGAACTGCAGTCTTCAGCCACCTAATGGCAGTTATACAAAAGAGGAAGCTGGAGTCTTTTCAGAGGTGCACAGTGAGAGGAACAAGGGGCAGAGGTCACAAATTATAGCAGGAGAGATTCCAATTACATGTCAGAGGTGGGGAAAAAAAAATCACAGTGAGAGTGGTCTGACACTGGAAGAGACGCCCACTGTGGAGGACCTTGGAGATATTCAGAGCTTGGCTGGACACTTGGCAGGACACAGCCCTGAGTAACCTGCTGTGAGCTGGAGTTGGACTAGAGACTTCCAGAGGTCCCTTCCAACCTGAATGATTCCGTGATTGAGAAGAGCAGCCAGCAGCCCTAGGGCATGCCAGATCTACGAAGTGCTGACAGCCCTGCTAGTTGTGTGATTTTGTTATCTCCTGAATTGCCTCAAGACAGGTCGTTGTGAGACGTTGACAGGTTCTGTGGCCCAGGATAAGCCCTATAAACTCCCATGTGAGGTTCAGGCATCTTTCATTATCCTCTTGGGTGGCTAGCGTGTATGTCTGCCAAAAAAGAGTGAAGGACCATTCTTGGGAGTGTTCTCCTGTGGTTGAATCCCTGAACATTTCTCTCTCACTGGTGAAAAATGTTTTATTTCAGGTTGGTTTGTCTTTTTTTCCTTTGCTAGCTGTGTCTTTGAACTCTCTGTTTAAATCATGGAGTCATCATTCACTGTAAGACAGCTTAACTGCTTTTACAAAGTGTTCTGCAGTTACGGTTAGTTACAGCGTTTTGAAGATTTGACACTCCACAGAGGTGGGAAGGAATAGCAAATACTCCTCCCTTTGCTGGGGTATTTTTGAATTATTCCAGTCATTGATAGATGATTTTTTTCAGGCCATAAATAACGTAGGTTTTGGTCATCTTTCCCACATACAGATGGGGAAAAGGGTACACAAGAAGACTTCTTAGGTACAGGAAAGCGCATGACCTTCTCCTGAGTTTGGAAGAAGTTTTTCCAGGTGAAATGCAGCCAGGAGCTGAATACTGAGCTTTGCTGATGGGGCAGTTAAAACCTGTTGGAACCTACTAAGGCTGCTCACTGGGATCAACAATGATCTACTCAGTGGCACTGTTTTTTGTTTTTTTTTTCTTTCTTTCTTTGTCATCTTAGGCTGGCCAAGTCTACATTGACTCTGATCCCGCTGCTGGGGACCCATGAGGTCATCTTTGCCTTTATTACTGACGAGCATGCCAGAGGGATGCTGCGCTTTGTGAAGCTTTTTACTGAACTCTCCTTCGCTTCTTTCCAGGTAGCGCTCACAATGTGCCCATGTGGATACAATATTTTTTGACTGCTGTCTGGGGACCTGCTTTCCCTCTCATTCATTGCATGTTCCCTGTTCTTTATATTTCTCAATTTAGCACTGGATATTACAGGATTATGATAGTGGAAGGGAAAGTATGATGACTAATTTTTAATAGTCGATGTTAGTGTCACATAGTCTTACTTTCAATGTCTTAAATTTACCACAATAAACTGGTATTCTGTAGAATTAATATCTATGGGACACCTGAAGGCAATAATGAAATGGTCTGTGATTTCCTGTAATTGTATAATGGCGTTGCTGAAAGCACATTTTTTTTTATACTCCTTTGAAAAATCTGTGCTGTGAGAGGTAGCAGTCTACAGCTGTAATTGCATGTGAGGAGGATGTAGGTTTATGGTGATTTTTATTTAACTGTTGCCTTAGGTAAGGCCATCTCCAAAGAGTCTCCTTGTCCAAGGGAATCATTATTCTTCTAGTTTCCCCGCTCACCCACTCATTCCCTGTTTATCAATTACAGAGGTGTATTTAAGATCACTGTAAATTGTTCACTTATTCAGTGCTTATAACCAGAAACCAGGTAAGGAAAAAGAAGGAGAAAGGAATCTTTAGGGGGGGGAAAAGAAAACAGTAACTCCTTTTTCCTGAAATCATGTGCTTTGAGACATAGATTGGTCAAACCTCTCTTCTGCCATCAGAGCTGTTGGAGAGCATAGATGGTCTCCATCTCATTTTTTGCCTACCATGGGATGTGCCAGCGTGGAGCCTCTAACCCTCTGCAAGTTGGTTTGGCAAAGAGGGGGAATTGCATTGCTCACCGCTCTCCTGCTTTCTGTTGATTTCAGGGGCTGATGGTTGCCATTCTCTACTGTTTCATCAATAATGAGGTAAGAGAGACACAAGTTGTTCCAACTTGCCTTATCAGCATCCACTGTAGGAAAAAAAAAAAAAAAATTGAAGATTATCTTGAACCGCTAAATTGTCCTTGTTGAGGACTTCTACTTTTTTTTTTTGACCCTCCTCTGTACAGCTACACAGGATAACAACTGGCTTTATCAGCATCCACGGTAGGAAAAAAAAAAAAATTGAAGATTATCTTGAACCGCTAAATTGTCCTTGTTCAGGACTTCTGTTTTTTTTTACAGACCCTCCTCTGTACAGCTACACAGGATAACTTCTCAGACAAATGCTGTTGGAAGGAATTCAGGCAGTATAATTTAGGGCCGCTATTTGTAGACATGAAGCCTTGCAAGTTTTCTTGCTCACAGTTGTATAGTTTGCACTGCTGGAGCTTTTCTTTTATTTAGAATTATAGCTGCTGCTCTTAATCTGTCTCGTAGTGCTGTTTATTTGCTTGTTTTGGTGAATGTGGGAGTCGAGCCTGTTTTATCCTGAGAACTCAGCTCAGCTGGCTGGTGAGCTTGGAGGGTCCGATTGGCTCATGCCCGTACAGTTTGGTTTTGTTTGGTTTCCCTATGACCCATTTACTTGAAGACATCATCACTCTCTCATTCAACCTGAACTCCATGGAGTGGTGAGCTCTCCCGCAGACCCCCCAGAAAAGTAGCCAGGGCTTTGAGTTGATTGATTACAAGTCACCAGGCTTGCAAAGGAAGCAAATGCTGCTAATTTGGCAGCACGTTATTAAGTTTAATGCCCATCAATGTGATTAATATTCATGCTAAGTTGACTTTTAAACATGACATGGTAATTCCAGATCACCTATTGAGATGCAGGCTGCATCGAGGAATTGAAATCCATGGAAAAATGTCCTACTTGTGTCATTATGGCCAGGGCAGAGTCAACAGAAAAGCAGCAGGCGTCCCGAATTAAGCCCTGCAGGAGACTGTTCACTTTTGTAGCTTGTGGGTCAGGTTTTGCTTAAGTGAGTGTGTTAATTGTCCTGCTTATGAAAGTCGGAGGTGGGTAGCAGCAGGCAAGTATGAATTAGGGAATATTTGTTTTAAATCCCTTGTACAGCTTTACAGGTCTGAAACACAGCACCGTCTGCTGGTGCATCATCTGTTTCTTCCGATTCACTTTGGCCTTTGCTCGTACTTCCCCCGTGCAGCCGCAGCCAGTGATGCCCAATAATTTCCCCCGTGCAATACAAACGCAAAGCTACGTCGTAGCCCAGACCTTATTACAAACACTGAATCAGGTAGGCTTGTTTCATTTGAGGAAACTTACTGTGAAGCAGCCTACCGACATTTCTAAGGGCTCCTCCAAATCTCTCCTTGCTATAGTTTTCCTGCCTTTGTAATGTAATTCCTGAAATCTAACCGCAAGGTGCTGGGAGGAGCGGAGGAGTGAGCGAGCAGTTGTGTGGGGTTGGGTCCCAGCCAAGGGTAAACCCATCCCAGCTTCACGGAAAGCTGACAGACAGCCATCAATAAAGCAATGTATTGAGTTTGATTAGGTCTTTTCTATTTCTTTCCTAAATTATATGAGAAATTCTTAGTTTTCGAACTATTTTTCTTCTGACAGACTATATGTGCCTGAAGCCTATCCTTGTTTGCTGTGTGGTCTATATATTTTTTTTTTCTGTGACACTCACCAACTCCTTTTATTTTTCCTTAGCCATACAGCATTAACTTTTTGGAAGTCCTGATGCCAGATAGAGTAGACATGAAACTGGAAGAGACATTAATGTCCTTTTGTAGTATCTACTTATGGAAGAACATTAAAATAAGTTCATATTTCAGTCATATTTCACCTGAAATATTCTGGATTTTCTCTGATGTTGCTCTGAAGCAGGGTTTCATCAGATGGCCTGTTATCACCAATGTTCTCCAAAAAATAAGATGGGCTTAATATGATCAGCTTTTCTGCAGTTACTGTTGCTTTCTGTAAGAAATATTCTAACCAGAGATGCTGCTGCTTTCCACCAGAAATAGTTTAAGCTGTTTCAGTTTTCATTTGCTGTAATCTTGCTTCTGCTTTTTGCCTCCATCCTATCACAATGGAAGCACACTTCACTCTCTCCCACCTTATAAAAATCTGTCCTGACCCCAGGACTCCTAATTTTTTTTAATTACTGCCCATTCTTCCTTTTGTATTTTCATTTATTTTAATTCTCTATATGGACTATCCATTGAACTCCCCCATGAGCTCCATTTCAAACCTGCTTTCCTTTTACTATGATTTGTTGAGATGTTTTTTTGCCAAAGTTTAACTTTCTTGTAATCAGATTCCAGATTCATTGCCCCACTCTCAACATTCTTGCCCCTTAGCTGCAGTAAGCTCAATCAACTGCCCTCTTCCACAAGTCTTCTCCACCTTTAACCTCCGTGACCATCTTCTCCAGGTTCTTGTACCTCTTCCCTTTCTCTTTCAAAATACTCTACAGAAAAATTTTCCTTCTTTATCTTTCTCATGGGAGCTTTGTTCTTGGTTCCCTTTTCCCTGGGTAGCTTATTTCTGGAGAATCTTATCCCCACGTGGAATTTATGAGGCTAATTGTTTTGCTGAAAGATCTGTAGATCTACTTCTGTGCTCCAGAACTGCCTCTTTGCAAAATAAATCTTAACTTATTCCCTCGGTCACACATTCATAGAATCACAGAATCATGAAGGTTGGAAAAGACCTCAAGGACCATCAAGTCCAACCATCAACCCAACCCCACCCAACCCACTAACCCATGTCCCCAAGCACCACATCTACACCCATGTCCCGAAGCACCACATCGACACGGTTCTTGAACCCCTCCAGGGATGGGGACTCCACCACTGCCCTGGGCAGCCTGTTCCAATGCCTCATCACTCTTGCAGTGAAGAAACTTTTCCTAATCTCCAGCCTAAACCTCCCCTGGTGCAACTTGAGGCCATTTCCTCTTGTCCCATCACTCGTTCCTTTAGAGCAGAGCCCAGCACCCCCCTCACTGCCCCCTCCTTTCAGCAGCTGTAGAGAGTGATGAGGTCTCCTCTCAGCCTCCTCTTCTCCAGACTGAACCCCCCCAGCTCCCTCAGCCGCTCCTCGTCAGCCCTGTGCTCCAGACCCTTCCCCAGCTCCGTTGCCCTTCTCTGGACCTGCTCCAGCCCCTCAATGTCCTTCTGGTGCTGAGGGGCCCCAAACTGCACACAGGATTCATAGCCATCTAGGCAAAAACTCAGTTCAACACAGAGAGCAGAGCTGCTCTTTACCCTTTTCCTAACCTCTGGAAAGTAAACAAATATTCTGCCATTCAGTTCCATTCCTAAGACAACATCTCTGATATACTCTTTCATTCAGGTCTTCCCATTCGCTTCATCTCCATCTCTCAGGCTGTTTACATCATTGCTCTAGGATACAGCCTGACATGTCCAGCCAGACTGAAGACTCATTTCCTCCCCTTTGATTCTAAGTCGCCCATTTCTATTGCTCATTTACTTATTCTGTCAGTAAGTACGTTCAGGCTTGCTTTCAGGGTCTGCCTGTAAATGTCTCCAACTGCTTTTTCCCAGTGCTGCCCATTGAAACAGCTGTTTGCCGTGCCCACAGAAGGTACCAAGCGCTGGGGCAGTCTGCAGGCAGTTCTCCTGCAGACAGTGTGGTCCCCGCATCTCCCTCTTTCCTTTTCTGCCTGTATCTGGCTGTTCCTCCCTCATTCCTCCATGCCAAGCTATCTTGGATACACTGTCTTTTGCAGGTGGCTCTGTGCACCTTTGACACAACGACCCCACAGTTATCACGATAAAATACAAGCTCCTGTCTCAGCATCTTTCCCTCTGTCCCATGGGGTTGTGATACCGGAGGGACAGATGCCATCGTCAGAGCCACAGCGATGCAGCTGCTTCCCACCAGGACACGATTCAGTCCAAGGGCTGGAGGTTACCACCAAGGGAAGATAAGGGGTTATGGAAGGCTTTGCTCCTTTTTTCGGGCTGCCTCCCAGAAAGCAGAGAAGCAAGATGTACAGCAGCTGCTTCCCTGGGAAGTTTCCCTCAGCGTGAGGTTTCAGCAGCCTGGGTGTGACGACTAGCTTGCGCTGGAACTGCCATCCACCTCTCTAGTCTCTTGATGGTCAGTACTGGACCCTAAAAGGCAACAAAAAGGAACACTCCTTTTTGTAAGAAGGCTTACTTGAGTGACCCACCTACGGTGCACTTCCTTCCAGGCTGAAGTACACACCGTAATGCGTTGTGATTACTGCAGTTGCACTCCTGCCTTTTTCTAGAGTAAAAAAGGTTCAATTTGATGTCCTCTGCCTTGTGTGTTAAAAGCTAATGGAGGTTCTTACTTCTCAAGAGGCAAGAACTTTGCCTGTGGAACGGGAAGATCTAAATTTTGTTCTCATTTAGCAGTTACAAGACCCTGGATAAATTTCCAAATGAGTACAGAGGTTACAGGGTTTAACTGGAAACCTGCGACTGGATGAGTGTATTTTGCAGCTTTACAAAATACTAGTATCTGGGAGGAGATATTGTAATTGCTGTTTTAAAAGGGAAGGGAAAGTACAGTCTTTGTGCTTAATTGTTGGGTTTTCAATTCTGAATACAACTTCATTTTTGTTTTTTTTTTTTTTTAAAAAAAAAAAAGGAAAAAACCCCAAAATGTAAATATTCATGGAACAAAGGTAATCCAAGACATAATACTGTTTAAATCAAACTAGAAGTTAAAACAGAACTCTTAAGAATACCTGTGGTGACAGGATTGAGCAGGAAGCCAGTCCTTTCAGTCATTTCGTGGCTGATAAGTAAAATCAACTTAATTGTCAGTACTGGTAGGGCATGGAGTACACTCAGTATTGCAGCTGAATACAATTTAGAATAAAATAATGAAGATAAGATTTCCTGGTGTATAAAATAGTTTTATTTCCATGAGTAAAAGTGAATGCTGTCATTATTTTAAATGTGGAATACCCAACAATGGACTAATGAGATAATGGGATAATTGGAAGCAATAATATCGCAGGTTTACAGCATTGCCAGCTTTTCTCAGTAGTATGGTATCTTTATTTTTTCCTTGCTCTTTTCTGGTGGAGTCATTTCAAGATCTGATTAGTTCTACATTTATTCCTTTTGTTTCCTTCTTTGCTTCTGTTAAGGTTCAGATGGAGTTTCGGAAAAGCTGGGAGCGCTGGAGATTGGAACATTTGTATGTGCAGAGAGACAGCAGTATGAAACCTCTCAAGTGTCCAGCCAACAGCATCAGCAGCGGAGGCACGGTGGGCAGCAGCGTCTACGCTGCCACTTGTCAGGCCACGTTCAGCTAAAATTTCTTGCAGGTGAATCAGACTGAGAACAATTAACTGTATAATATACCTGAAACCCCTGAAATAGCCAAGTAAGTGGCTGAAGTATGCCATCTCCAGCAAGAAACTTCAGCATACGCTGCTCATTGCCTGCAGGTTGTTGGACGAAGGTTCCGAGGGAAAGCAATCTGCTAATGTAATAACGCATCAGAGGGAAAAATGATCATGTCTAAAGTAAGTTAAGAGTTTCTTCCTGTTTGCACACAAGGCCTCCAGGTGTCCAAAGCTTAAGCCTAGCATTGATCCAGTCTGAGACCACAGGGTCAATGGCTTATTACTGTTGAGTGGGCGAGCTGAGTGATCAGCTGATTAAATTACCTGGATACAGAATATGATTATTGCCCAAAAATACATTTAGACTTCTATGGGGATGGGGTAAGGTGCTATCACCACTTTTAGAA